GTGGGTTTAGATCTGGTGATCTGGGAGGCCACTGTATTGGGCCATTTGTTCCTATCCACTGATCATTAAAAGTAGTACTTAGAAAATGATAAGTACCTCTGGAGTTGTGGGCAGGTGCGCCATCTTGCTGAAAATGCAGATGATGTCTACTTAGAAGATCCAATTCGTCTAAGAAATTAGTCAGAATTTCTGACATAAATTCCACATATCTTTCACCAGTTAGGGTTCCCTCATAAAAGAACGGGCCAACAATTTTTGAACCAATTATACCGCACCAAACGTTGAAACTGAAACGGACTTGTGGGCCTCTTGGATGTACTAACAAAAGATTTTCTCTTGACCAATAATGGTGGTTTTTTCTATTAAACATTCCAGAATTTGAAAAATTTGATTCATCTGTCCATAAAAGGTAACGAAAGTTATTTACATTTTGGCGACAGAAGCTAAGATACCAATGGCAAAAAACAAGTCTTCTCTCTGGATCCCCTGCCAAAAGCGTTTGAACTGGTCGGTACTTATATGGAATAAATTTGTATTTTTTTAAAATCCTTTGAACAGTACCATAACTGAAATTAGAGTCCTTGAGAATATCTGCTATTGAATTCTCACGATAAGCTTCAAAATATCCAATAACTGCAATTTCCGTGGCCTCGCTTATTATGAATTCTTTTTTTGCCCTTGTTTTAGCAAAAACATTTTCGTTGCCCCTAAATTTTCGATAAAGTCTCAGAAAATATCGTTCATACGGTTGAATGCGAGCGGGATATAATTCACTGTAGTATTCTCTTGCTCTCAAGGAGGATTTTCTGCACACTAAATAGCATTCTAACATATCACACTTTTCTTCATGGGAGAACATTTTTCTTTAAATTAATGACACAATAAAGCTTATAAACAAGTATTTACACTAATGTTTGACATTATTTGATTTTATCATTGTTTTCCAAAGCCTTCTAGTTGCGAGTATGTCCAGTTTAACAATTTGTCGCTTATCTTAATGCTGTCAAATCGCGAACGCCATGTTGTTTTCATAGCCGTCTTAATATTATAATACTGCAAATAATTAAAAATATTTATCGTTATTTTGACTTTATTTTTGACTTTAGCGGAAAAGTCATTATGAACTTTTTTGTTTAAAATTTGATGCTTTAACAGAAAAAAATATAATATACAGGGGTTTCCATTTAAAAAAATGTTATTTTACTGAAAAAAATCAAAATAACGACTCTCAATTGTTTTTTTTTATTTCTCATTTTTACCAGCGTTAAAAATGCTACTAGTTTGCTAATTCAAACAACTTTGTATTTTCACTAATAACAAAGTTACTAATGGTGGACACTTAATTTGGATAACCCTGTATATATACGTAAGCTGTAGTCATTGCCATGAGTACGAATATAGTCTGCGACAAAACTATAGCAAATCATAGTGGAAGAGGAATATTTAATGGATATATAAACATTTAATTTATCAAATATAATTGCACTTAACTACATGTTAATAATATATAATAGAACTTTCCTATTTCTGTATTTATTTTACATATTGCATCTGAAAAAGAAAACAGAAGATACGACAAAACTATAGCACGCCTAATCTAAATTTAACTTCAAGGAAAAAAAACGAACTACCTGAATAATACTTTAGTAGTGGGTGGTACCTCCTCTTGCTACTAACACCTCCTGCATACGGCTCGGAAAACTGTGATAAAGACTACGAATGTAATCCAGCTCTATTCTGTCCCATTCAAATTTCATTGCGTTTTTTAGCAGATCAACAGTCTCAAATTGCCGACCTCCTGCACAAACTGCTCTGGCAAGTTGACCCCAACAATTTTCTATTATGTTCAGGTCAGGTGAACGAGCTGGCCATTCCAAAACAGCAATTTGTTGTTGGTCAAAATATCTTTTTACACAGCGAGCGAAATGGATCGGAGCATTATCTTGTTGGAAAATGTAATGAATCCCTGCCATCTTCTCGCTATTTCTCGATAGCTGTTCATGGGCTAGGGTGATGTAGCGAGGGCCAGTTAAACGATCCTATATGAAGCAAATATTACTGTTTCCTTTATAGCCAATTGCTGCCCACACCATAACGCTTCCGCCACCCATCTGCCGCCTGCTCAAGATTTGTTGGTCTTTCCTCAGATCATGATAATATTGAAATCCATCAGGGCCGTCCAAATTGATTTTTTTTTTCTTCCGAAAAAATAACTTTTCGCCATCTTTTACACCATTGGACGTGGGCTCTGGCAAACCTTAACTGTGATTCTTTATGCTGCTCAGTAAGTGGTGGTTTTTTGCTAGTTTGAGGAGTTTTAAATGGGAAGCATTATGCAAAATGCGTTGTACATTTCTGTTTTTTTTATGTACACCAGCTTCTCTCGCAATCTCGCGAGCAGTTCGTCTAGCATTAGATGCTGCCCGTAAAATCTTTCGCCTATCTCTGTCACTTAGAGCTCGGGGTCGACCACCGGGAATTATTTTTTTGGTAGTTTTCGGGATCATTCAAGAAATTTTGAACTACCTTTCTACTCCTTCCAATCGTTTGGGCAATGTTTGATATTTCGACCTTCTTCCGTAAATGAACAACAATCCTCATCTCCATAACATTAAGCTTTTTTCCACAAGGCATTTTCTACCACAAAATTAAAAAAAATGTTCGATAATACGCACACACGTCGCAGCATACAAATTATACGTTTCTTTCTCTCTGTATGTGACTGTAAGATGGACTGAGACGTACGTGTACTATAGTTTTGTCGCAGCGCTAAGCGTTGCCATCTCCACGTAGTATTGTCGGTCAGTTATTTTTCTGGTAAACAAATGCTATTACATTTTTGCTATCTGTACTATTCATTACATGGAAGATCTCTCTAAATTTCGGCTCATATTTGTGGAACCTTCACCATATAACAAGTGGGCTAAAGATTTGTCGTGGACATACTCGAATATACATATATATTACTTCATCTCTACGTCTGCTGTCACCTCACATCGATGGGTGAGTTCCAACAAGATTCCTACAAGATGTTTGGGTCTAAGGTGATGTAACGTTTGCTACAGAGGTGCTGTTATTGGATGTCTAAGCTCTAAGTTGTATACTATAGCTGGAACGAAACGGTAGTGCAATATGGATTTGTGTACTAATAATCTTTGTTGGTGATAATTCCATTGGTTTCTTGTCTCAAATATACTTACTTGAGATGTATGCGAAGCTTGAAATTAGCTGCGCATCCGCTTTTTCCTATTCGTCCTGGAAGTTACATATGCAATTTGTTGAATTTCAAAAATGAGAGAGATAAGAAAAGAAAATCCCCGGCTGGTGAAGTATTTAAAAACTAACATGTGAGAAAATATGCTACACTCAGGAATATTTTTGAAACGTGAAGAAGTTATTACATTGTACATTATTTTTTATTTCCATCCATTTAAATTTTATAGAAACTTATTTTGCGATTATAAATAGAGAATACACATCAGCGCCTAGATGTGAGGCAATGGAAAAATGTTTTGTTTGTGATGCTTCATCCCTAACTTTTCTGTGATGTGGCTTAATTACACATAACGCGGGTGCGATGGTTATTTCTCGTAATACTGCTCAGTTTTTGAAAATGCAAAAAACTATGGAAAATCGTAATTTATCACATACCTTACACACACAACCACATATTTACGAATGATTTTCTCACATAACAGATATCACTAATTTTATACAAATGAATGCCAAAACACACAATCACCACACATCCAGATGCGATCTTGCTACTCGACCAATTTTCTTTCTATCACATCTTCTCAGAGATATACTATACAGAATATCTCGGCATTCTGAAACCAACAAAGCATACTGGGGAACTAACATGCAGCATGGTCATTGAGCGTATCATTGAGTCATTCCTCCATATGTGACGCTTTTGGTGACGCACACAGCGCTCGTAGCGAGAGAACGCGGAATGAACTATCTGTACACTAGGAACTATATAGTCAACAAATTGACATTATGTCGGTGTTTTTTTGATGTTATATTGATTTTTTACGTAATAACACTGCGGAACTATACTGCGTCCCCCAATATCATTTTAGCAGTCCAACAATGACATCGCACGGACGCAGTAAGTCAATAACCTCGATAAAAAACAAGAAATTTCTGTATTATAATATTTTTATAATGGACGCATCGACAAAATATTTTTATGTGTGCAAGTACCCTATTGTGCATATCTCAGAGAAACGTTCCGTTGTGGTGCACTGGTTTTCAAAATAAGAATGAGCTTAATATACACTTAATAATTAGTACGTGGAAGTGTCAACTTTCAGCTGCTTGTTTAGTGGACGAGATGAACGGCCGGGTCTTTCAGGGGATTTGTCAAAGCTGAAAGTCTAACGACGCAACGGACGACTCGTCGGGCCGGCACAGTCACGTAACTGACCGGGCGTGAACCGTGAACCATGGACTTGCATAAATCTGCCCGTAAGGGAATCTATAGAGCACTGAAAGGGTAGCCAAAACGACAATTTATCTCCGCAAAAGTTACTGCGTCTGGTTCGTTTTGTTGGATAATATTTTATTTCCCACGTGGAGGCGGCTTGGTTACAACACCACGACAGCGACTTGGACCTTTTTGGGATATTTGGCAGTTCCACCTTCATTTATACTTTATCAAGTATACACAGTATGAAATATACGAGGTAAGCCCTTTGACACTGGAATTTGCTTAATGGAGGATATCAAACATGCTAATCAATTTATGGTAATTTTATATAATATTCCACACGAATTTTCAAAAAGAAAGTGGGCGTTTGTGATATATCAACTGAAGTGCTTTTTTATTGTCTATTCGATGTTATTGTTTCCAGATCTATTGCAGAAATCGACAATCAAAAATTAGTAACAAGTTTGTGCTGAAAGGAGTTGAACATATACATCCAAACAAATCGTACGAGTATTTTGCTAAGTCTTATTATTAAAGAAAATCTGGATAAAGATAATAGATTTACTGGTTTGCCTTGCTTCTATGCAAGACAATCTGTAATAAAAGCAGTCATGAAAATATATTACCATGTGGTAGTTCCTATTGTCATCATCACTCTTTCAACTTTATCATTGCAGCAAACAGACAACGTCATTACCCTTTTCCATCTCCTACTATTAAGTTCTTGGTCAAGTGTGCTGTTTTAAGTATATATTTGTCATTGACTTGAAATCGTGATATGTTTCCAAAACTAGTCTTCCACGTCCAACACTTGATAAGATTTAGGGATTTTTTCCGCAGCAAGCAGTTTCTACGGATTCTGGGATATTCCACTTTTCCTGTTGTCGTGTGTCTACATGCGTACAAATTCACGGGCAAACATCATCAATCAATCGACACAGGCAACGTTTTTTTTTGGCCTGGATTTCAATCAACCGATTCGAATCACGATACCAGAACGGACTGCTAATCACTGGAAATTGATTTATAGAAGGTGAAACACCACTTACTACGAAACTAATTTGGTATTCGAAGTAATAAATGAAGCTTTTATAATTACTACCCTAAGCTACAAGTAGTAGTCACTGAGGAAGGTATTAAAAAAGATACAGGACTCAACTTGTCCGAATCTTACAAATCGGTGTTCACAAAACATTTTTGAAAAATTGGTTTACTTGATGTATGAATATATATGCCATCTTTGCGTTATTTTTTTAAATCTATTTCATGTGCACATAAGTTATTGAACCTTTCTGTAACTATAAATTAGAACATTATGGGATTTGAATGCTTATGCATCGCTCATAACTTTCCTAGGTAGAGTTACGGCGACAAGCAGAAGTCTGCGATATCATAGAGAAAAGCACTGAGGAATAAATTCCGCTAGCATATGAGATGAATCGCTGGCTGCTCGCAAACTTGAAACTGACAGGTCGCCTATGGGAGTGTTACCAGACCGATCTTCATTTGAGCTTTGTGCAGTACAATACTATAAGCTCATGTACAAATGGGAAATGTAGTCTACGGATAAGTAACGTAAAATAAATACAATAAAAACAAAAAGTTCATTGCTGTAAAGTTGGTTCATTGTTCCACCTATCATAATACACTTTGAAGCTATTGACTAACGTACCATTAACCTCACGTAAACTGTTTTTTAAAGCTGTAGCCGCTGAGATTGATACGAAAATAAAGGCATGAAGTATTCTAAGGGCCGATTTCACCATTTGACAAACCATTATATTTTTCGTTTCTTTGTCCTTTTCCGTGTTACTATGATGAATCATCGAAAAGAATAATAGTAAACCACGAGCAAATAGCATGGCTGCATTCAAAGATGGAAATCGAGGCAGACAGTAGACAGCACCAGCCCGAGTTGCTTCAAGTTCTGTATGTTTCTACACTGAGTGAAACACTAGCTCAAAATGCGCACCAAAAAAACATGATTATACAGGGTGTTTCAGTTTATTGTTGCATAACTTTAAGATTCGATAGAACTTTTAAAATTAATGCATAGAGTCTATATAAACATGGGTCGAAAAATGCGTGGCTTCCGAAATACAGGGTGTTTAAATTTACTTTCTAAAATAGTTTTTTTTAAATATTTCGAACAATATTTGATGTATAATATTTCGATCAATATTTGATGTATAACAACGAAAATTGGTGTACAAGGGTTTTTTGATACGACAAAACGAACCATGGGCATAGTTTTACTGTAGCCGCTAGAGGGTGCTCTCTACTGTACCTGTAGTGTATTAAAATGACCGAAATTTTTTTCTTACTGCAATTTTTTGCTTTTTGAATACAAAAACTGATTCTTCGCGCTTTTCAACATAAAAAAGCTTTCTTGTGAATTTTCGCTATAGTTAGCCGTTTTTGAGATATTTCGATTTTTAAGGTTCGATGCATGTTTAATTTTATTTATGATAAAATAACGTTAAAAAGTCAGTATCTCGATAATTTTGTGCCTGCAAATATTTTTGAAATTGCAAGCAGAATAAGGTTAAACGTCAATTAGTTGACAGTTAGTTTTGTTGTCTGTTGAAACCTGAAACGTTTTTTTGCAATTGTGAATGCATGAAATTTAGTTTATTTTACCTGTTTTTTTTTTTGTAAGTTTTATAAAAATGCCATTTTTATTCTCCAATCAAGAGTTAGCGGATATTTATTTTGTGTATGGCTTTGTAAATGGAAAAGCAGCAGAAGCAGCCAGAGAATACGCACGAAGATTTTCAAACAGGCGACATCTAACTCGCTCAGTATTTGTAAGAGTGCATCGCCAAATAATTGAAAATGGTTTTGGAAATCTCCAAAGGGATCAAAACATATATGTTCGTCAGCTCAGATTTACCCGTATGATTCTGCGTGAGTTTGACAGAGATCCGACCACAGGTGTTAGGAGAGTTTCTGGTGCCTTGGGAATTTCAGCAAGCCATGTTCACCGTGTTCTTAGAAATGACCATAGACGTCCTTACCATTTGCAACCTGTGCAAGGACTACAGCCAGGGGACGGAGAACGAAGAATCACATTTTGTCAGTGGATTCTTGATAGAACTGATAATAATAGGGAGTTTTTAAGTAACGTTTTATGGACCGATGAGTCATGCTTCACTAGACGTGGAGAGGTAAATTTTCATAATCAACATATTTGGTCGCATGAAAATCCGCATGGAGTTCGGGAAAGAAATTTTCAGCATGAATTTAGTGTGAACGTGTGGATTGGTATCTACCGTACTCGACTATTTGGACCCTACCTTTACCTGCAAGGTTAAATACTGCGACCTTCTTGGAATTTTTAAAGGTTGAACATGCAAATATGTGGGATGATGTTATGTTAGACTTAAGAAGATTGGCCTGGTTCCAGCTTGATGGTTGTCCAGCTCATTATTCGAGAATAGTTACAAGCTGGCTGGACGAAAATTATCCAGAAAGATGGATCGGCCGTGGAGATTTCTTTGTGTGGGGATTTCTCAAAGGAAAAGTGTACCAGACTCCCGTAACCACAAGAGATATGCTAATAGACAGAATCAGGAATACATGTGATGAAATAAGGCTTTATTTGAATAATGCTATACCACGTTCGATCATTCGTAGGTGTGAATTTTGTATTGAACAATTGGGTTTACATTTCGAGCAACTACTTTAGATTTTGTATGTTTGTCCTAACTAGCCAATAGCATTTTAGTTGTAAATAATTAATTTAATTTGTTAAAAATAATATTGGAAAATTAAACAAATTAATATTCTGTTTTTTGTGTTTATTTGGAGTTAGGAATTATTGCATGGTTTAAAAACACAATCTAAACGATCATCTTAATTACTAGTAATGCCCAAATCGAAAATGTAAAAAAGATTATTATTTTCCCATAAATAATTAAAAATGCATCGAACCCTTAAAATCGAGATATCACAAAAACGGCTAACTATAACGAAAACTCACAAGAGAGCTTTTTTATGTTGAAAAGTGCGAAGAATCAGTTTTTTTATTCAAAAAGCAAAAAATTGCACGAAGAAAAAATTTTCGGTCATTTTAATACACTACAGGTACAGTAGAGAGCGCCCTCTAGCGGCTACAGTAAAACTATGCCCATGGTTCGTTTTGTCGTACCAAAAAACCCTTGTATACCAATTTTCGTTGTTATACATCAAATATTGATCGAAATATTTAAAAAAAAAACTATTTTAGAAAGTAAATTTAAACAAAAATTTCGGAAGCCACGCATTTTTCGACCCATGTTTATATAGACTTTATGCATTAATTTTAAAAGTTCTATCGAATCTTAAAGTTATGCAAAAATAAACTGAAACACCCTGTATAAATTGGTTCTCTTATAAGCATTTGGAATATGCACCAGTCCAACACTGGCTTCACTGAAAGAAAACGCGATTGAATAGCTTGGTAATATGTAACAGTTTAAACCACACCAGGCTGATTTCAGTAGCTTCTATTTTGGCCACTTTCTCAGTTATAATCTCATCTCCCTTCAAGTTGCCTCACATGTCTGCCTGTGGTTCTCGATACTTGCTTCCTAAAGATTTTTGACTCGCTTGACTGTTGACTACGTTTATATATTTTCTGGAGATTTTCAAATCTATCAAAGATTTTTCAGACCCTTGGATGTTCTAGAAATTCATCGATGTCAATAAAACATTTTCATACAATACTTAAACCTGATTTCGACAGATGTTTCATGCGTGTCAGATGGAATTCTTATTTGACTGTTCCTTAGTTCCTTCTGGTACCTAAGAAAAATCACTTTCCCCACTTGCAGTGTGCCGAGTCATTCAGTTATTTTCGTGCACCGATCAGTATGAATAAAACGTCCCATCACTGTCCTAGTCACGACTGAGTCACGTGACATCTGGACAAAACAACACTGCTGCCTGACTTAGCGATTTTCTGTATTTTTTCTCCACTTGTCCGCTGGCTATTTCCAGCATTTTTGGCTACATTGGTAATTCCATGAAAGTTCGCCTTTTTGTGTATTACAACCTTTTCAAGTGCCGAACGCAACTAGTGATTATGCTGCGCTATCTCCCCAGCCAACATACAATGGAAGTAGGAAGCTTTTACTGTAGTAATTTTTTTGTACGGAAGCAACCGGGTCTGTATGTAAGGCACATCGCGCAGCGGCATCATGAAAGAGAACTCTGAGGAGCAAAGCTCGTTGGTGTAGCGGTAGAAGAGAACTTGATCGCCGACGGCCGCCGGTGTGAAAGATTCCCGAGACTGTTTGTTAGAGAAGAGTCATCGATCAGTCGGACAGTCCTTCTCTGGACAACATCGAGCATAGGTAATATAGTTTGGTGGCGGCACCCCAAACGTGTGAGCAATACTCGAGGCTAGGCTTTTTCTAGGCCTTGTATAGAGTGAGAAGGTCTTGCGGAAGTACTTCATAGCCCGAAACAAATAGCTTAGCTTTTTCCCAGCAGCTGCCGCTACTGACAAGATGTGTTCGTGCCAGATCAAGTCCTCGGTGATCTGGACTACCACCAGCCTAAATGAACGGCCCTTTGGCAGAACCCTGCCATCCATCGGAACCGTATGAGCGCTAGGACGCTTTTTGTTCGTCACGGTACAGCACTGTGTTTTGGAAGCATTACACTATACCAGATTGTTGCGTCCCCAAGCAGTGATAACCTCCTGGTCTCTCGTCAGAGAGGTAGTCGCTAATCTTCTTTTTTCCAGCTCAGCTGCAGAGATCGCCTTGTCACTCTGAATTCCTGCATCTAGAGTGCTGTCATCAGCGAAGCTGTGGATTGGGTTGACCGTACAGGAAAGGAGGTCATTGATATGCAAGAAGAACCGTGTCGGAGCTAAGGCCAATCTCTTTGGATAAGAGGGCAGCGTGCCACAGCTGATTGAACGCTTTCGTGATATCAAGACCAACGACATAAGCCTCACCGTAATACTGGATTAGCTTACTTTACACTTGCGTGAGGTAAGCTAGGAGGTCCCCTCTGGATCGCTGGTGTCGGAAATCATACTGCCTGTCGCTACTCAAGTCGAGACGTTCGAGGTAGTCCAGAAACTCACGATTTATGTACCTCTCATCACCTTACTTATAACAGAAAGCAGAGCTATAGGCCTGTAGTTGTAAGGGTTGGTTTCAGATGCTTTTTTGGGGATGGGTTGGACATGAGAAAATTTACAGTTTTCTGGATTCATAAGATATCTGGAAGAGACGCGAAAGAACTGGAGCAAGCTCCGCTGCACACCTCTTCAGTAGAATCAAGTTCGGACCAGAAGCTTTGTTGGGGGGCGTCCATGGTGCAATTGGCAGCAAAGATCTTGGCAAGCACTTCAGTCTTGGCCTTCGAGTCAGTTACAATCATTCCATCCAGACACGTAGGTGTGGAAGGCTACTGTGTGACAAGTTCTTCATTTCTTCTTCATTTTCAAAGAAATTGTACAAAATCATCAGTTGCTGCCGTGATATTCATCCCGACCACTGCATCCCCACGGCTAGAAGACCTATATGTTAAATTTGTGTTGATAGGGCAGCGGGTTATACTATAAATCATATGTCACCGTTTTTGTACACTGATTGCAACGGCTAGATGATACCAAAAATATTTTCATAAATAGGAGATCTTTCCCATTCCGGATAGAACAATCCACCAAAGATGCTTATAATCATGATACCTAGTAAATTTACATGAAAAATTCTCTGTATGTAGGTATATAAGAGATTTCTTATATTTGTTCATCAATTTGATGATACAACACAACTGCCCAAGATGATCATAATCAGGATAGAAAACTATCACTAAGGTCTACTGTATTGAAGAATTTTCAGATACTTCATTTGTAATTTAACAACAGACCGTGATGGTGTTCACACTTTTCAAGAAGTGTTATCAATCTAGCACCAACTATCATAAGTACTATGTTTGTATTCCTACTTTAAATTCAAAACCAGCAAATGTAAAAGATTCATGTCGCACCCTCCACCACGGGACGCGATCGTCGTTAGACTTGGCAACCCTGCGAGTGACAGATAGATAACCCCACCAGTGATAAAGGGAATTAAACAATAAACGTCAATAGTTTTATGATTTTTGGACTTAAAAGACATTATTTGTGAGACATTTTTCATAATTTTTGTCTATGTCCATAGTAATTGTATTACGCATCAGGGAGATGTAGGAATTGACACGTCTTACACATATTATCTGTGTTTTAGGATAGAGAGGACATAATGTTTTTATTGTTTTGAAGAAATCCATTAACCCATAAATTAATAAATGATTACTATTATGATGTAAAGGAAGATGAGGAATTGGTTGGAATGTATTTTATATTCTATTTTCTTGCAAAATACAGACAAATCCACACTATTCAACAGGTATGTAATGATAACAGTATATTGAACTTAAATTCCCATTGGCTTTGGGGATAACTGATTGTTAAATGTAAATTTATAACACAAATCAAAATACATGAAAGTTGACCTATTTTCTCTGTACAAAAGCATCATGTTGGAATCAAAAAGTGGTCTTGTTTATAATACAGTCGAATTTTCACGATTTTATTCAATATTTTAATAGAAATCACTGATATTCTGAGACCTTTGACAGCTTCTGTCAAATTGCATTTCGATAAGGTATTTTCCCATTGGTCCATAATATTAATGTTGGTGAAATTGGGCCTAAAAGTAACTATGAGACCGGCCTGGATTCTTCGGTCAAATACTATGGTCAAGTGGAATAGCTCGAGACGATCTTCATAGCTGGACCTCAAATGGGACAAGAATTGCCCAAAGCAGTTTCCCATAGCAAATCCAAGAATTGTGAATGAAAGAGTTGTCACGTTTTAGTTCAAGGTAAAATAAAGTACAGAAAACTTGAAAAACGAACAATGGTGTCAAGTAGGTGGACTTCGCACTTCCCACATAGCGCTGTCATCATTTCATAAATCATTTTGGCACAAGCTATCTTCTCTATTCTTAGAAACAACTGAGTTTTATATCTGATCTTATGTATAGTGGAAAATTCGGTACGATAATGCATAGCAAGAAATTAAATGAATCGAGTCGGTCTTACAGCTTGATACAATTAGTTCACAGCCCCACACAATACCGACCATCTGGCAACGCTAACTTATCTCTGCACTCCTCAATCCACCACGGCGTTGTAGCCTCCCATTGCTTAGACATCGATCAGCCCTCGAAGCAGGTATACCTATGTACGTTCGCGTTGGAAGCGTGGCTTGGAAATAAAATCCCTCAAGTTTTAAGGTACGGGGAAATCTATGATGTATTGTCCGGACCGTATGAATATACTCATGCCAAAAAATGACACCTCCCACAGCCCCCAACTCCCGGTTTTTAAGCCTGATAATTACTTTCTGCAAACTAAAACGTGAAAAAAACGAAGGTTGTGTGATTTCTACTTCTCAAGTTTTTTGCCCTCAGCTCCACCGCCACTGGACCGATTTTCAAAAGCTACAAAGCTTTTCGCCCTTGGCTTAATACTAGTATTATGACGGGTCGAAGATTAGCGGACAGACAGATATACAGGCCGACGGAAATTAGGTACATGGGTAGTTAAACGATCACTTTATCAAGTATTTGAACTTTTTGTTGGAAGCTTTATCTATTCATAACCTTTGTGAGCAACAAAAGGGATGGTTATTTTCCCTTCATCACTTCAAACCAAATTAAATTATAATCTTCTGCAAAGAGAGCATACATTATAAAGAGGTTACATCTGATCTTATGTATAGAAGGAATAATAAATTTTGGAAGCACAACAGTACCCGAATTCGGTTATATCAAGCTGGAGCAAGTGCTTATGAAGATGCGAATGAATCAACATTGAAATGTCAAATTCCAATTCCTCATGTCAGATTGCATTGTTTGCACAATTCGTACTGTGGTACTCGCATATCGGACCCAATGATTCAATACACATGCTACATAATTTTTTCGTGTCAGTGTATTTGTACGCTTCCAACTCCCAGTACATTTGCTCTAAAAACTATTACAACTTTGAAGTTGAGTCATTAATTTTCAGATAATGATTGTAGAAAGAAGATAAACCAAAATATGTGTGTAAAAATAAAAAAAAATAAAAAGCACGCAGCAAACACCACTATTCACTCACGCGTTACCGACTGACACATTGACTGAATAAAAACATCGTGATCAGCGTTTCAAATTCTTTCGCTTTTTTGTTTCCTATGCTATGAACCGATAAGGCGGATTATATACGTTGTCGCCAAACACGAGCACATAATATTATTATTGAGACAGGGCGGTACTCAAACTTCTAAAGGTCTATAACTTTGTTACTTTAATTTTACCACAAAAATGTTAAAGGAAAAAACATTTCTTTTGATCAGATCTACTCACTGTTAAAATAAATGACTCAACTTCGAAGTCACCCTGTATATAACATATTTTCAGCCTACGCGTGTGTGGATCCAATACGTGTGTCGCGGTACGATTCATGGGTCGCAGTCGGTAGTGGCTTCCGGGGGCTGTTGTACTGCCGACTGCAATGCATCATCAAGAGCGTGCCCCCATTTGTGCAGGTCGTACACAAGGGAACTGGGGATGCGTCCCGATTGCCACCTGATCGGCACATTAAATGTCCAGATAAAACAATATTAAAATACGTTCTTTGACATTAGTCAGCTGTATGAAAAAGTGTGTAAAGTCAAAAAAGTAGTGAAGACAGCAATGCAAAATAAAGACTTTACGCCGCTACGAGAATGTCATAATATTTTTAAGGACCTCACAAATCTTCAAGTTATTTTCTTTTATGGCTTTAATGTCGGTATCAAACGCGGCAACGGAAAGGGTATTTTCCCAGGCTAACTTAATTTGGTCTAACAAAGTGGCGACACCGTTTGACACTCGAACTTTATGACTTGCAGTGAATTTTATAACTACGTTATATACAAACAAGGCAATCCGAAAAGCATCAAAATCTAATAGAAGCATTTTAATAAAAATAAATTATTACATATAAACCGTGTTAATAACTAATACATAAACTGAGTTGAGTGGACCACGGAAGGCCACGCTAACAAATAAACCGTTATTCTTTTATTTGCCGAATAAATAGAGCAACTAAATTATAAAGTATTACATTGTTCTATTATGTAACTTATAAAATATTTTTTATTGCTGCGTTAATTATTATTTATTTAATTCAAGTTTTATTAACCCTTTCAGTACGGAACCTTTTTTAACTGTACTGTCACCACCGCCGACTCATTTTGCATTGTCTGGGCGCCTGATGACCTATACGTCACCAAAATAAAGGTTAAAGTATAGTAACACAGGGAACAATACAGCTTGAAACTTTATTACTCAATAAAAGTCAAACATTTAAATGCTGAAAATATAATAAAAAAACTCAGGACTGAACGAAAAAAAAATGAGCAAGTTAATTTTTAAAAGTCGGCTACTTGATGATAAATCCGAAAGAAGGGCACTACACATAGAATAACGTCGCATTCTCTACACATGTAGCTGCTCTCTTTCCTTTTCTTTGTTCCTGCTTTCGTCTGGGAGCAGACTCTGCATCTCCTAGTGGCAGTTTTTTTTCCCTCTTTTCTTGGAACCAATTCCGGAAAATGCTGTTCTGTCAGCCTTGCACTTCCCTGATCAAAATAAAGTGGTTTTGCTGTTGTTGTTGTTGCTTATGCTTTTGACCACGTGTAGGCCTTTCAGAGTGACCAGCGCGCTCTTCCTCCGCCATTTCATGTAAGACTAATCACAGTCCAATGCTCGGTTTCAAAAATCGCAAGCATGATACAGACGTTAGACAGTGCAGCCGGGTGTCGTAAATTTTCGGCAAAGCCAACATCGTCTGTGGTAAAATGCAAGTTTCTAAAGGTGTCGCATCTGTAAGGCAGTAGGCCAATGGATGTCGGATATATACGTCAACCGGCCGGTGGGTATATTCTATAACTGACGAATAAATATGTCAGACGGACTGAAAGGGTTAAACTCTTCCGAATGACCTTGCAAGGAACAAGGCTTCATACAAGGCTAATATAATAAATCAGTGGTTAACGTTGTGATCAGAATATCGGCTTATAATACTTAAACTACATATAAGGGTACTTATTTCATTACAATGAAATACTGAATGCTTACAATAATGATCTTCTCATGAAAGATACTCAATGTAAATTTCTTAAATGCTATCGTAAAACTAACAATGTATCCGTGAAAATAATTTTAAAATCATTTTATGAGTTTTATATCGACGTCAAATAAGTTACCATCTTGATTAAAAAACTAAACCGGTCAAAATGGCGTTAGAACTCTACAATTAAAAACATTGAAAAATTATAGTTTATTTACTTGAAAACTCACGTTTTTCTGTGATTAGTTTAAGTGATTATAATTTTAACCGCTACGTCTGATGTCCATCCGCATTGACCAAGTAACGACGCGAGAGTCTGGCTGCCCTCACTGTATCCTTGAGTTAGATGCATATAAATATGGGTAAAATTAATTTTTCATCGCATGGTAATAACTGCGAATTGTTAATAATAATTTTCCTGTCAATGAGCCCTTCCATGATTCACTCACTCTATATTAGTTGCGAAACACAATAAGTAAAACTATAATTTGAAAAAAATCTTTCTTATTTCTACCGATCTACATTTCATCTCGATTTGTATTGGCTTCGGCCCCCATTTAAAACAAATTGAACCTGGCAACGCTGATCATTATTCACATGAGGGGAGCATTCATCGCCATGAGGTAGCGTCTTTTTTTGCGCACTTACTTGGTTATTTCACAATGGACAACGATAAATTGATGACTCCAGAATTACAAGAGCAGTGGGGTATGAGATACGGGAGTCGAATAATAACAATAGTAATCTTTCAATATGTCCTTGGTTATCTTTACTACAAAAAAAGGATTGACATCCTCTGTTTTCCCACAATTTAACAACAATAACATCAGTAAAGGACTAAAAAAACAAAATTTCTCAACTTCGTCCATATTTGTTGAGGGGCAGAAACATCTGACTTAGAAAATATTAGACAATGTGCACAGTATAACCGCCTTGCTCTCACGAGACTCTAGGATAGTGGTCGCCAACCTTTTCAGTGTGTTGAGCTACTTTGATATTCTTGGAATAAACAGTGAGCTAAGTCGTAAGCAATGTAAGCCAACTTAAATGAAATTATACACAGTTGTATGCGACATACATGTGTTTATTTTACTAATACTAATACATACTAATAAACTTAAATAAACTAATGACTAATACATTATAGATAACTAACATGCACTCATTCCTACTAATCATAGGTGTTGAAAAATAAAAAAAATGTTTCGTCAGGTATAATAGCATGTCACATACGATTAAATAAAGGTAACTAAAAATAAAAGAACCCACGCACTATTTTAAACAAAAACATGTCCAGATAAAAAATGCGTGTTTAATGAGAAGCCTGACACTCAGACTCACTGACATTTTTTTTAGTGTTTGGAGTAAAATTTAATTCCACCATTCGAAAACAATTATCCAAATGATCATCTGTAAGTCGATTACTATATTTGTTTTTAATAAACTTCATATTTGAAAAAGATGATTCACACAAATAGGTTGAACTAAGTAACGCTTTCACTTTCAAGGCAACACGACATAAAACTAAATATTTATCTTTACTTACTGAAGGCCAGATACATTTTGTATTTAAGACTAATGATTTTAAAGCTAAATCATTTTGAAACGCAATCACTTCCATTTCCATTGCAGCGATGTATTCGCTAAAATTCTTCGTAACAGAAGTTGCAAACTGTTGGATATCAATTTCCATGAAGGGTGAAACAACAAATTGCGCCACTTAGTAATTTCGTTGAAATCCTTGAAACGATTTTTGAAGTTACCCTTCAAGTTCGAGACTATTTCTAAATGATATTTACTGCCATATGGTTCTAATGGACTTTGAGATATCTTTTCTAAAAGAACAGGAAAATGCCTGGTATCGCCAAAACTCAAGCTTTTTGATAAATGCTTTTATATCAGAAATCATTTCTGCTAGTTCTTTGTCTCTCCCCAGAAGCTGCAAATTAAGTTCATCTAATTTTTCTGTAATATCCACAAGAAAACCAAATTCTCTAAGCCAGATTGAATTTACCAGTTCCGAAATCGGTTCATCACGTTGTTTGAAAAATTGAACTATGGCAGATATGATATCTTTAAAACGTTTCAGCACTCGTCCCCTACTTAACCATGGGGCTTCAGAGTGAAGAAGTAGTTCCCCGTATTGCGTATTGACAGTCACTTTCATCGGCCAAGGTTTTGAATAATCTTCTTTGAAACGCTTGAGCTCTAATCTTGTTCAAAATTTTAACTACCAATTTCATAACATTGTTTAGTTTTAGAAAATGTCCATATAATGCTTGCTGTTGTATAAAGCAGTGGTAACTGAGAAATTGCGGAAAACTTTCATCTTTACGACGTAACCCCACGAGACCCTTATCACGACCCACCATAGCTGGAGCGCCATCGGTTTTTTTTTTATTATATCGAAACAGCCGCGCAGGCAGAAGCCTAAATGTCGGAACACCGCGGCTGCTATGATGATCCCAAAGAAATTTTGTTAATACGATTTTTGAACTGCCTAAGGTTAGTAGAACTGGGAAAAGCTTCCTCCCGTAGATTGTTCCACAATCTAGACACCCTCGGGACAAAGGAGCGGTCGTATCGGCCAGTTCTGGATGTACGAAGTTTGACACGGTTAGGATGGGATGCCGAAGTCAGGCGGGTCTGTCTGGCAGGCGCATCGCGCGGCGGCATCATGGAAGAGAGCTCTGAGGAGCAAAGCCCGTTGGTGTAGCGATAGAAAAGAGCTAGATCGCCGACGGCCCGCCGGTGCGAAAGAGTCCCGAGACTGTCTGTTAGAGAAGAGTCATCGATCAGTCGGACCGCCCTCCTCTGGACAGCATCGAGCATGGACAATGTAGTCGGGGCGGCAGCACCCCAAATGTGTGAGCAATACTCGAGGCTAGGCCTTATCTGGGCCTTGTATAGAGTGAGAAGGTCATGCGGAGAAAAGTACTTCTTAGCCCTAAACAAATAGCCTAGCTTTTTCCCAGCAGCTGCAGCTATTGAAGAGATGTGTTCGTGCCAGATCAGGTCCTCGGTGATCTGGACTCCGACCAGCCGAAATGAATGGCTCTTTGGTAGAACTCGACCGTCCATCGAAACTGTATGAGCGCTAGGACGCTTTTTGTTCGTCAAGGTACAGTACTGTGTTTTGGAAGCAAGATTGTTGCGTCCCCAAGCAGTGATAGCCTCCAGGTCTCTTGTCAGAGAAGAAGTCGTCGCTAGTCTTCTTTTTTCCAGCTCAGCGGCAGAGATCGGCTTGTCACTCTGAATTCCTGCATGTAGAGTGCTGTCATCAGCGAAGCTGTGGATTGGGTTGATCGTGCAGGAAAGGAGGTCGTTGATATGTAAGAGAAACAGTGTCGGAGCCAAGACCGATCCCTGGGGAACACCCGCGTTGACGTTGTGGGATGAAGAGGAGAATCCGTCAATTACGACGGATATCTTGCGGCCAGAGATAAAGTCAGCCACCCATCTGCAAAGCTTTTCTGGGAGGCCGTAGGATGGAAGCTTGCCTAAGAGGGCAGCGTGCCACAGCTGATCGAACGCTTTCGTGATGTCAAGAGCAACGACATGAGCCTCACCATGAGACTGGATGAGTTTACTCCACAGTTGCGTGACGTAAGCTAGGAGGTCCCCTGTGGATCGTTGGTGCCGGAAACCGTACTGCCTGTCGCTAATCAAGCTGTGACGTTCGAGGTAGTCCAGAAGCTCGCGATTTATGCACCTCTCCATCACTTTACTTATAACAGAAAGCAGAGCTATAGGCCTGTAGTTGTAAGGGTCGGTTTTAGATCCTTTCTTTGGGATGGGCTGTACATGAGCAAATTTCCAGTTTTCTGGGAAGGTGCCGGATTCATAAGATATCTGGAAGAGACGCGAAAGAACTGGAGCAAGCTCCGCTGCACATCTCTTCAGTACAATGGCAGGAATCAAGTCCGGACCAGAAGCTTTGTTGATGTCGAGCGACAAGAGCACTCGTCTTACGGTCTTATGCCTGAATGTTACTTCCCGCATAGTGTGGGGAACCCTTTGAATTGACGGCACTTGGGCGTTGGTGGGGACGTCCATGGTGGAGTTGGCAGCAAAGATCTTGGCTAGCACTTCCGCCTTGGCCTTTGAGTCGAATATAATAGTTCCAAACTGACACGTAAGTGGTGGAAGGCTACTGTGTGAGAAGTTCTTTTCAATCTGCTTGGCCAGCGTCCAGAAAGACCGACTGCCATTGCGCTGCGACATTACCCTGTGCCTAACTTTTATATCATGCTGGTTTTTGGCATTGCGAAGTTTCTGGACTCGACGTCGGCTTGTCTGTTCTCTACAGTGGGGTTTTGTAAGTAGGTTCTGTGGGCCTTGATCTTCTGCTGGCGAGCAGTGTCACACGATTTGTTGAACCAGCCGTTGGACCCTGGTTTAGGAACTTTCACTGTGAGAGGGATGTATTCCTCCATTCCGACGTGGATAATTTCGGTTATTGAAGAACAAACAGTCGACGCATCTGCGTCAGTGAAACAGACATCTCTCCAAGGAAAGCTAGAGAAGAAGTCTCTGAGCCCCTTCCAGTCGGCATGTCCGTAATGCCAAGTTTTGCGGCCTGTGCGAGTTTCTGCTGCCACAGCGGCTTCTGACCGAAACCTAACCTCCACAACACCGTGATCTGAATTACCCAGGGGGGACAGGACAGCAGTGCTGTAAGGGGCAGGATGCGTGGTCAGAAAGAGATCTAGCAGGCTACTGGCGTGTGACGAGACGCGGAGGAAAAAAGTAGGGCTCGTCACCAGCTGGGTCAGCCCTTGAGTAAGAGCGAACGCTTCGACTGCACGACCTGCTGCATCGGTCTTATTTGAGCCCAACCAAAGCTCATTATGGGCATTGAAATCACCGAGAAGAACTACCTCTGAAGCGGGGTGATTGATGTTCAGGAAGTCGATCTGGACGGCGAGGTATTCGAGTAGGTCATCCCAGTTATGGTTCGAGGGAGAGCGATAAAGGCAGCAAATAAATTTGGGTGATGTTTTGGAGTTGAGGCGAAGCCACAGAATGTCCTTCCGGTCTGATTCCAAAGAAAGATCCCTGGAGCAGGAAAGACTGCTGCGGACAAAAGCCACAACTCCCCCGTTCTTTCTCAGATTGGAGTGCACCTCGTAGTTTGGGAAGTTGAGATGGTTAATCGGTGCAGTCTCTGAGATTTTTGTCTCCACCAAGAAAAGCACGGCGGGACGATTGGATTGCAGGTAGTGATGAACAGCATCAATGTTGCTGTTGATCCCGCAGATGTTCGAAAAACAAATTTTATCTTCGATGTTGTTCCCTCGAGCCCACCCTCCACCCGGACATTCCGAGAGTGGAGTGAGTTTACGTCCGGAGTTTTTAGTGCTCGAGGGATCCATCATCATTAATTTCTTTGTTTTGGTAGATAACCGACTGCATAGCTTAGGTGTGGAAACATGCGGACATTTATAAGACACCCTGGGAAAAGCTAGCGGGTGGTACTGCCTCGGTCGACTGGTCCTTGTCTACCACCTTCTTTTTACGTGTGAGTGATGTTAAATAGACCTAAAGTGGCCCGTTGGCGGACTTGTACCGCCACCCGGCAATCGGTACTGAGGTATTCCTTAACGCGTGCACAATCACTTGGACGGGAAGAAGTTGTATACTGGATACAACAACTTCCGGAACAAGCATTTGCCACGGCCCTCGCTCAGTAGGGCCGGAGCTCGCTCAGTAGGGCCGGCCTCGCTCAGTAGGGCCGGTTGTACCATTTTCGATATTTTTTTCAGAAGAAATAATATTTTTAAAAGAAGATAATAAGTTCTGCCCCGTAGTATGTCCTTTTAGTGGAATAAACTTCAAAAGATCTTCTTTAATCGTAAAATCACTAAATACCATCCTGACGAACACGGCCATCGGAGAGGTAGGTGTCAACGACATTTGTGGATTCATCCAGTTGCAGTGAAAAATAAGCACCGTTATCGAAGTCATTTCTTAACTGTAAAACTATATCATTGCTCATTACTTCTACTCATCTCATCACTTTATTAGCAGAAAGTTACATATATTTTATAGCAAACACTATCTTGTCTTTATTTCTAAAGTTGGTAAATAATGAATCTGCAGTTTCTAAAAACGCCTGTTTTATCATTCCCCCGTCTTCATAAGGTTTCTTCTTTTGTGTAATTATCTGGGACACCCGGTATGATGCCTCAGTTGCAGCCTTACTTTTGTCGAATGTTTTTAAAAACATTGTTGTCCAATTAACTGATTTTTCAATTGTTTCAGTTTTTCCGTTCTGGTTGCAGAACGATGGGAATGATTTTTCAAAATTCGGATCTACAGTTTTATAGTGCCTCTCGATGTTCCCTTGTTTTAGCAACGGAAATAGATGTATTACATAACAAACATACATTTTTACCTTTAACTTCTGTAAAGAAATATTGTTCTTCCCATTCCGAATGGAATTGACATGTCTTCATCTTCTTACTACTGCTCATAATGTTTTTAATTGCAGGCCAACTCTGACCCAATCGCTGGACTTTGTGCCGTTCAGTTTTAAGCTGAGTGCACTATTTATTATGAGAATTTACAAAATTTACGAAAGCTCCTATGATTTTTACACCTCTATAAAATATATTCTGGGCCACCAGAATTACCTTTGCGAGATACCGGTAGCTCACGTTCGTGGGGTAGGCGACCATTGCTCTAGGACATACTCGTCAGAACTAAATTTCGTCAGAATTCGCAACCATAGTAACCGTAGAATGCGCGTCAATTAAAATATACGTTCACTCTCCACGGCGCACGGTTTGTGTATGGATAAACAGTGCCAAGCCCTCAAACGTGTCTAAACAATTGTTCGTGCAATATTTTCTGCAAATACTGGACAGACGACAAAAGCGTGGTATCATATTTATTGGTTGATCCTATTTCAAGATGTGTGTCATCCGGATAGTAAGGAAATTAATTCTGTCAGAGGGCATTTTAATAAAAACGCTATCAAGAATATTGCCATCGATGTACTCAAACACGTAAGGAAGCGATACTTTATGTGAAGGTCTACTGAGCGCTGCTCGATATTTTTATTGGAGGATTCTATACAAGTTGCAAGGGTCAAGGTTTGAGTCTATATATAAATTCTCTTGCAAATGCATATCTTAGATCCTTTGCATGCTAAATGAAGTTTGTTTATAATGGAGCTTTGATGTTTCCAAAATTACGAGCTGAGTACATC